GGGACTCACCGGCAAAGCCAGTACTATCCACTAAAACCCAACAAAGCCTTCCCCCGTCTTAATGAGGCGTCGCAGGATCGCTTACGCATTCAACTACGACGCCCCGACGGCAGGTCTGCCGAAGCAGACCACAACAACCACGGGGTTGCTCCAAGGTCCACTCTGCTATCAGAGAAGTACCAGGAGCAACCCGCATGGTTCACCGCCTTCCGAAGAGGGCGCCTCCCACCGCCCACCAAATTGGGCCACCTCCCTGTGCGTTTCTTGGCTTCGCGCCCGGTTGGGTTGCCGGGCACTACTGAGCCCCCCCCACCACGACAAGGTGAACGCACGTTGGGGGGGCTCGGGTTCGTCCCTAGGTTGATTCCCTATACAAACCTTTATCCCCATTTTCACCCCCATAAGAGATGATTTTTGGAATAAAAACTATCCTGTGTCCTTCCCAGGGTCTCAAACTATCTTCTTATCAAATCTCATCTAAATCGGTTCAGTAGTTTCGAAGCCTATTCAGTACAACAAACAAAAAATCAAATCTTTCCTCTTTATAATATTAGTATAGATTAGATTAGAAATACTGAGTTTATAACCGACTTCCAGACATTCATAAAAAAAAACCAGCTTCTAGGCACTAAAAAGTAAAAGATAACTGAACGGGGGTTTTCATTTACCTCTTATACATATTATGTACCTATCTAATCAGTTATACTCAAAAAAAATTATCACGCAAAAACTGTTGAATAGATTTTAATGAAGCTTTGCAGTAACATAGCTGAGAAACTCATACTATAGATATCAGTGTAAATCATAGGCTATAACTTAAGAAGCCGCAGGATAATGCTAGTAGGATTATAAAATTTAATTGTAGTTTATTGACTAAAATGGGATGAGTTTATGGAGGCAAGTTTACAGTTATCGTATGAGCCGTTATTCCCAACCGGTTATCAATCGGACAGCGAAAGCGATTACATATTCTCATGAAATAAAATATAATTTTTCAATTAACTTGTTATATTATTCAATAATTGTTTCAATGAGTACATTTGCATCGATTTTTATGTCTTAATAAATAAATTTAACTAAAATTAAAAATATTTATAAGTAAAAATACGAGTATATAATTATATTCAAAGCTCTTTTTAATAGAGTAATATGTAAATGAAAATGTGTGGAAAATGGAAATATGGACATTGACTCATATGGCATCGCTTTTGTGTTCTTGTAAAAATATTGTATCTCTACATTTAAAAGAGCAACTGTTGAGTTTCTAGCTAACATATTTTTGATATATTTGATATATAACATATTTATTGATATGTTGACATAAATATTCTAAATAGCTTTCATTTTCAGTAATAAGGAGTTTTATAATCTTTAGGAATGAATTCAAATTCAGATCAGATCTCAAGATCTATTTTAAAAATGATACAATCTAATCAATATTTATGTGTGTATGTATGTATTCAGCCCTTTTTAACGTCCCACTGGTGGGCACGGGCTTCCCTTCAATAGGAGGAATCAGGACATTCTACCGCGCTGGCCAAGTGCGGGTTGGGGGAACTCATGTTGAAAATGATTCGCACATGAAAATATCAGAGGTGTGAGACTCGGGATTTAAAACCGCTTCACTTGGTTTCCCAAGTGAGCGCGTTACCACTGCGCTATCACTGGCTAGTATAATATAATAATATTTGTATGATATTCAAAATAAATATATTTTTCGTTGTTTATTATTCGTGGAAATTGAAACAATGACTATCCTGTCGCATAACGCACGAAACGCACATTTATCATGTGCCACAGATGTGGACAGGATAACCTGTGATATATGTAAATCCATGAAATGCTCATATTACTATGGAACAATAAATTTTATGTACCTACAAAATTTTACTTTAGTAAATATTTATTTATAACAGAATTTTTCGCTATTATATAGATTGTAGATTGACAGACAATGACAGCTTAAGCCACTACTGGCTTCAAACGTAAAATTTTATACAAGAATTTCTTATATTTTCCTTATGCTACTTGGGTAGAATTTTTGAAAATTTACCTTTTAAATGAGTTAATTATAAAATAAAAATTTAAAAAAACCGTATGCAAATTAATTGTCATTTAACGATTACACTGGCACGCGTGATATATATCCCATGCCTTGATTGATGATACTCTTATACTGCTAGACCGATATTAACCAAATATAGCTAAGAACCACCGCAAGGAAACTGGCTTTCAAATGAAAGAAACCGCATCGAAATCGGTCCATCCGTTTAAGAGCTACGATGCCACAGACAGTCACAGGGTTAAAAAATGGATGAACATTTGTATGAGTCGTTTTTGAAGTTAGAAATATCGAAATTGATGTTTATCAAAACGATTAGGTTATGTCTCAAGGGTGTTTCTATACAAAATATCAAGAAAAAATACTCCCTTTAGGATGCAAACATACATGCAACACTGCACTATTTTACATATTTTTTATTAAAATGTATTAAGAAATAATCACAGTTTAAAGTTAAAAAAACCTCTGATATTCGAGGTTATTAAACACTAAATTAAATACAAATATAATTACTAATCCCATTTTAAATTATAAATGCGATAGTTTGTGAGGATGCATGGATGTCTGGATATATAGATGTATGGATGTTTGTTAGTCTTTCACGCAAAAACTACTAAATGGATTTTAATGAAACTTTACAATAATATAGCTCATACATCAAAATAACATAAAGGATACTTATTATCCCGGAAAAATGTACGGTTCCCGTGGGATAGATTTGTTTTTGTTTTTTAAACCCGAGCGAAGCGAGGGTGAGCCGCTAGTCGCTAGTCTACTTATTAGTCTACTAGCGGCTCACCCTCGCTTCGCTCGGGTTCGTCGCTAGGTACGTTTTAAATAGATATAAAAAGAAAAAATCTTTCTTTCTCACATTTTAATTATATGTTTTAATACTTACCTATTCCGGACTAAGAGAAATCCAAAAATTAAAATATCATAAAAATTGGAACGCGGTCGAACGGGATAAAAAGTATCCTATGTCCTTCTCCTGGCTCTAAACTACCTCCCTGCCAATTTTCAGCTAAATCGGTTCAGCCGTTCTTGAGTTATAAGCGAAGTAACTAACACGACTTTCTTTTATATATATAGATTGAGATGAGTTAAGTTAATGATTTTTAAATTACTGAAACCTTTTAGATTTCTCATGACTAAATCGATTTTCATACAGATGGCGTGCCAGCTAGACATAATATTTCCTTCTCAAATTTCACGTAGATAGAAAAATATATGAATCATTCGGTGAAATATAATTCAAAAATAATAATAATAAATTGAGTGATAAGGAAAGGAAGGACGTTCCTCCATCTTCTCTGGACCTCTCCTCGTCATGTTCTGCCGCCTTCTACAGAACTCATGACACATTATAGACAAATTTTATAATATTACATTTATACATTTATTTCGTGTATCTCCAAAACGGCACTAAGGATTTGGATATATATTTAAATATAGAAAATGCTTTGCTTTTTAAGTTTTTATACATAGATGTGTTTTCTGAAAAAAAACGTAATTTTTATCTTTTTCGGAAGACGCCAAGTGATGCTCGGTCGCCTAGGTACTAAGTAGGTATGTCCCAACACAATCGTATACTACCGTAAAGCATAATCTCAGTACATTTAATCTCTCCTTATCATAAAGCCAATTAACTTACAGTAAATTATTAGAAAGTACAAAATTTCGTGTAATTATAACAAAATTTCATAACGAACCAAATTTTAATTAATGGCCGTCTAAAATCTACTTTGTGTTGCAGAATTAAAATTAATTAGGTACATTGTGAGTGAGAGATTAATGTTCACTAGGTCATATGTTTGTAAGTCTCTTACATGATATGTTGTTTAAAAAAACATCTTTAAAGTAATGTATACATATAATAAAATTCTGAGTTGAATCTGTACATTAAATATTTTTTTCGAAAATCTTATTGAAATAGTTATTATTATCGATACAGAGGGCGAATCTATAGTTTTTAGAATTTTTGTCTGTCTGGGAACGCACCAAGAGAAAACCACTTCTCTTCACAAATCTATTCTAAATGAAAAAAATTTCGTGCCTGGAAGCGTTTTTTTTATGTTTTTATCAACATGATTATCATTTCTCTTATGCTAAATAAAAACATCGTGAAGAAACCTATATGTCTGAGAAAACCTAAAAGGTTTTGAAAAGATAATCTACATCCAAATCTATCGAGCTGTTTTCGTATGAAGAATGATATTAAAAAACAAAAATAATGTCAAAAATAATGTCAACCATAGCTAAATTGTTGCGTAAATAAATTAATATTAAAAAAAACATTTTTAAAACAAGCTTTTGACTATACTAATATACTAAAGAGGCACAGTTTGAGAGTTTGTGACATTGTGTTTGTGAGTTTGTGACGTTGTATGGAGTACAAAGATTACTCCACCGATATATCTACTAAACCGATATAGATGATAGGAAGATAGTTTGAGGCCCTAGAAAGGACATAGGATACTTTTTATCCCGGAAATCATCCTATAAGGGGATGAAAATGGGGATGAAAGTTTATATGCGAAATCAAGCTAGGGACGAACCCGAGCGAAGCGAGGGTGAGTCGCTAATACCATATAAATTGTCCAATGTAATAAATGGGTTTAATTTAATTGGAAGTTTTTTTTGGTACTTATTCGTATTCTTCTCAGCAAACTCTTTCATTTGATATCCTTATCATGGGGTGCATAACAAAACATAGTTCGCCATCGTTGGGATTCGGCCATGTTGGATTTAGAATGACGTCACTTATCTACCACCACTATGTATTGTCATCTAAACCAAACACCTATGCAACATTTCAGCTCAATCGGTTCAATACTTTGAAAATTCAATAGCAAGATTTGACTCGAACAAACATTCACACAAGCATTACAAGTAATAATAACAATAAAAGCTTGTAAAAAATAAACCATTTTCTTTATATATGTACGATTTAAGATTTAGGTATACCAAAAACTTAAGATTTAAACCCTACCTAGCATCGTATTCACAGCGCGTAACGAAATGATATAAACTGCTACCATGCGATACACAACGCATTTGAGACGGTGCAGTCATCGCACCTCATACTTCCAATCATAAATAAATAACATTAAACAATTTCATTTTTAACCAAAAAACCTTTAAAAACTACAAACACGTTGCGTTCAAGTGAGAAAGTGACCATCGTAGAGAGTTTGGCGAGTGACTTAATTTTCCATTACAAAGGTGATTATTTTCAATTTATTTTACGTGTAGTGTTGTGCTTGCGGATATTTGGTAAGAATAGAGAAATATACTTAAATAGATATTTCTTAAAGTTGTTATGAGAATAAATAAATATACTGTATATTATATTTGTGAAAATAATTTAATACCGCTTTTGAAAAATAATTTTATTATTCGACTCAAGAGCTATTGAAAATTGTTATTTTGGGGAAATTTTTAGATTTTTAGTTTGTTATAGGTGAAATTTACTTGTATGACTAGCGGCTCACCCTCCTTTCGCTCGGGTTCTCCTCTAGAATAACAACAACAAATTTATCCCACGGGAACCGTACATTTTTCCGGGATAAAAAGTAGCCTATGTGCTATAGTCTGGAGACTATAATCTATTTCTGTGCCTTTCATCCAGATCTGTTCAGCGTTTCTGGCGTGATTCAATATCCATCCAAATAATCAAACAATTCTAAACATTCACATTTATAATATTACTAAGATTATTAAGATTTAATTTCTAAAAATAATGAGCCAGCTCTAAAGATTTGTTTACTAATAGAAAGCCTATTATCCAAGACGTACCGATGATTTTTTATAATAAAATATTAAAATATATAAATAATAAATACTGATAAACATATAAAATAAAACAAAAAAAATATTAATTATATACGAATATTATAAAAAGGGAAAAACTACGTGTAATGAATGCAGATCATAAATTTTTTATTGGCATCAATACGTGACAGTATTGTGAGCATCACTTTCCGGCCATTGGCCTGCCAGAGAAACTGCATAAGACCAGTTAGCTGGATAATTATACGGTGCACTAGCCTTACTATAGAGGCGTTATTTTTTTTTATAAACCTATCGTGTTAACTTGGCAAGAGTGAATAATTGATCGATCTACAACATTCGTTTTTATATTTTATTTCCAAAGGCGTCTAAAAATTTTGTCTTTATTATTCTTCGGTCATCAACTTCAAAAGCAATTTATTTTATATCTTTTTATTATAAATAGATAAAAAAGAAAAGTATGAATTGCTATTGTGAAGTTTCGTCTTTCAATTTATATCTATTGTATTTATTTTAAATCGGTCAAGTGTTGCTAGTTGCACTGAAGGAATTTGCGTTGTACGACAAAAATGTTATTAGATTTAAATAGTTACAAAAAAAATAAAGGTTTTTTTGATCAAAAATTAAGGATCCAATACATAGTATAAGGCTACCCGTCTTAGTATTAGAAGAAGGACAGATGGTATGCAAAAGCATTTCTCAGCGACAAAAAAGGCTCAGTCGTAGAGTTTCACCTCGACCCTTCGGCTTCGTATTACCATATTTCCACAAATACGGACGGCTTAATAAAACAGTTTCATATAGATAGCTACTGAATTGTATATTGTACAAATATTTGTAGAAACATAATAAATAAGGGGTAAAAGCATTGTCGTACCTCTAAACATATCTCCATATGCTTTGCCCAGGTGCTTTTCTGTTTTAAAGCAGCGTCATCTAGTGAATGACAATGAATTCGGGACTAAAATAAGATTAAAGTTATAAAAGGGGTTGTTGATCTATAAATGAAACTAGCGACTCACTCTCGCTTCGCTTTCTCTCGGTTCGTCCTTAGGTTGATTCACCATACAAACATTCCCCCTTAAGGGAAAATGGGGATAAAATCCTATGTCCTTCCCAGGGTTTCAAACTATCTTCTTACCAAATTTAATCTAAATCGGTTCAGTAGTTTCGGAGATTATTCGGTTCAAACAAGCAAAAAAATCTTTTATATAATATTAGTATAGATCATTTCTTTTATAATTTGTGACTGTTGTTCTACACCAAGAAACATAGCAATAAATATAACAATAAAATAATTCATCCTAATCAATACTATAGTGGTGGAATCAAAACTCAACTCCATACAAAATATGGCGATGAAGCCAAAAATGGTCGAGGTTTTCTGCATAGTAACAGTTTATGAGATGGCCAGATTATATTGTATACAATATAAGACAAGTCATACGATCCTGTTACAAAAATGACCAAATTTTCTACAGAAATTACACAATTTAATACAAATCCAAAGCGGGAATTTATCTCAAGCCTTTTTAATCTGGGAAATCTTAAAAGAAATGCTAATTTTTCTGTACTTTCTTACTTTAAGATTATATAAAGATTCTTTAACTTGAATTTTTTTATGAAAAGATTTCACAGAGCTATTTTTCTATTAAGGTTCCTTAATGTAAGGCAGAAACTAAACCCAGATAGTACAGGATTTTTATTTCTTCATGTTTTAAAAAAACGTTAATAATTAATTGTTAAGTACGCATGTGAGGTATTTTCCCATAGGTTAGATGGACGTTTCATGTTTCTAAATGACTTTTTATTCTAAAATAGCTACTACCTCTGGCTCTGGAAATAAAATAAAAATAACAACAAAACATAAAATTGCTCAAAAAAGGCACGGACGTATGTATATCTGTGGGTGTTAGACTTACTTAAATAAAAAAACAATCTCGCTCGGCTATTTAGTCTACGACCGCTAAATATACCGTTGAATGGAAATATTTTTATTGTATAGCAACAAAATGCATTAGGGGATCATAACCGACTCTGTGGTTGCAGCGACCAACCATTTTATCTATACATATAATAAAATTGTAACTAAGCCGAATCTGTACATTAAATATTTTTTGGAAAATCTTATTGAAATAAACATTATTATCGATACAGAGGCCGAATCTATAGTTTTTAGAATTTTTGTCTGTCTGTCTGTCTATCTGTTACCGCATCACAGAAAAACCACTGGAGGGATTTTGATGAAATTTGGTATGGCTAGTTATACGGGTCAACGTATAGGATACTTTTAACCGCGGGAAAATATCTCATTTCAGAGAAAAAATACAAAAGCTGCAATGTAAGAGTATACTAATATGTACAACGTAAGAATTTGGTTTTTGGTCATCTGAACGCGGGCGGAGCCGCAGGCTATGCTAGTATTGTAATAAATGTAATAGATACATTCGTATTATTAATATTATAAATGTGAACGTTTGTGAGTATGGATATTTGTTACTCTTTCACGAAAGAACGGCTCAACAGATTTGGATGAAATTTGGCATAGAGATAGATTATAGTCTGTAATAACATATAGGCTAATTTTTATCCTGGAAAAATATACAGTTTCTGAAGGATAGATTTGTTTTTGTTTTTCTAGTTTTGCTAGTTCGTAAAAAGTTGGTCGCTGGTCGCGTTTGATTAGAAACAAAGATTTTTTTAAATTAAACTTCCGTTATTTTACTAATTATTAAAAAAAGCTATTACAAATATATAAAAACAACAATTTACTCATAAAAATATAAAAACAACAAATTTTCTTTCTAAGTTATTGAAGCGCATGTTCCTACGTATATACTGCTTTGAAACTTGGTTCTCGGTTAGATCACAAGTAAGTTATAGTTAAAATATTTTCTAATAACAACGGAATTTTCTCAGAAACCTTAATATACTTTTCCTTGAAGACAATATAAAAATATATTTTACGCTAGAGATTTACATACGCTATGATCGTAATATAAGAGATACCTGATAAAATATAAAGAAAATGGTTACGTGTAAGCTTTACGCGCGGTTGAAGTAAAACTTCTTTGGAAAATAGCGCAATTAAATTAAAACAAATCAATAATTAAATAAGGTATATTAGGCATATTACAATCATATATTTATAGAATATCATATACGGAAAGAATATAATATTATATATTCGTCAGACAATAACAATGGTTACCATGGCAACATGGCAATGTATACTATCTCATTCTCTCGCCCTCTTAATCCTATTTAATATCTGTTTGTCGCATTTTCTTTTCTTCAAGTTTCAAATCACATCGATTCTAAAAAAGTTTCACTTCATAAATATTTGTAAATAAAATGAAAAGCAGTATCATCATACTAGATATAGTATAGTATAGTAAATATTATGTAGTATTAGATTTTATTATTACTTACTCCACCTTTTAGTCTGTCGACAATTGGATTTTACTTAAATTACTTAATATGACGGCTAGTATGAAATACAAATCTTTGAATTTCTCGGCTTTTCTGAACTTAAATATACATGTATTATACATATAAACCTTCCTCTTGAATCACTCTATCTATTGCTGAAAACTGCATTAATATCCGATGCGTAGTTTAAAAGATCTAAGCGAACAAACAGCGGAAGCGACTTTATTTTATACTATGTAAAGATGACAGTTATGTCTGTTTTTTTTTAATTTTATATTATTTTTATTCAAATGTAAAAGAAATTGTATCTTAGACTTCGTTTCTCCCCTGTTATTACTATGAAAACGTAATAAGCACGATTTAATAGAAAAACACTTTATTCTAATATGATCTCATAGTCTATAGCGATAAGTACTAAATTTGTATACAACATTTAAGATGATGATGATAACTGTATTTAACGGCATTAGAAACACTCTGCATGAAAATCTAAGTAATATTACGAAGCATTGATAGAAATCGTGACGCTATAAAATGAGGCCATTTTGATTTTGATTACAAGTATAATCAAATATAATATAATATAATTGGTGAAATTTGGACTTTATGTATATTTCGTATAGACACACAAGGAGTCCTTCAATTTATTTGAACTAAAATCTACACATATAATAAAATTGTAACTAAGCCGAATCTGTACATTAAATATTTTTTGGAAAATCTTATTAAAATATTCATTATTATAAATACAGAGGCCGAATCTATAGTTTTTAGAATTTTTGTCTGTCTGTCTGTTACCGCACGAGGAAACTACTGGACAGATTTCGATGAAATTTGGTATGATGACAGCTGGTTATCCGGGTCAACATATAGGATACTTTTTACCGCAGGAAAATATCTCATTTCTGAGAAAAAATATTACAAAAACTGTAATGTAAGAGTATACTAATATGTAAAACCTAAGAATTTGGTTTTTGGTCATCTGAACGCGGGCGGAGCCG